TCTTGATGAACTGAGAATTGATTATCTAAAGGGTGGTGATGGACTGAGAGTTAGTGATCTGAGGGGTGATAACTGAATTGAGACTCCAAGGTTTTGTACTACTGTGATGTATTGGAAATTTGGTGGGGGGAGGAGGAATGTTTTTGGAAGGTTTTCATTCTGAGTCCTGCGTGTGTTTCTTTTTATATATAGTTGTAGGTTAATAAAGGTTTTTTCTTCTTTATTCCTAAATTGAAGCCTGCTTTGCTCTATTTCTGGTCTGAGGCAAAGTGGAAATTTTCCAGGATAGAAATCCATTTTGATTTAGGTGAAATGTACATTTTTGAGTTGAGTCTGTGGTTAGAAACCATAGTTATTTAGCCTGACTGCAAGGCCTAAGCTCAGTGAAGTTACTTCAGTGAAAGACAGAGATAAGGGGGGGGAGACAGAAGATGATAAAGAGAGACAGAAACTGTTATGGGAGCAGGTCAACCTGACCTAAGAATTCTTTCTGATAAAAAAGAACTAGCGGCAAATGTCACGCAAAATCCATAAAAATGAATATGTATGAACCTATTGTGAAACTGTATGCATATGTATTTGAGAAAAAAGAGACCTGAAGTTCTCACAGGTACGCATGCCTTTTTTGAGGAGAGCAATCTCCGCATGCGTCCAGCGCTGTAATAAACATACTGGCTTTACAACTTTCACAAAGTTGTGGAGTACTTTTACTTTTCTCCTCAAAACAGTCACACCTCACAGCAGACACCAGGGAACACATTTTCATGGAGGCACTGGCATTGCGCCAGCTTCAAACCGTGACAGTGAGTTACCCTGTTGTTGAAGGAAATCAGGTTTGACAAGCAGGACTTTTCCCTCAAGCCCTCCTGGCTGTGACCAATGACTACGTTGTCCTCCAGGTGTTTGTCAACACCCCCCAGAATAATCTTTGTTATGATTTTACTGGGCATGGATTTGAAACAGACAGGCCTGTAATTTCCAGGGTCCTTCTTGCCCTTCTTGAAAATCGGGACAATGTTCACCAGCCTCAGGACAGCTCTGACCTCTCCACATTCCCAAGACTGCTCAAAAATCATCAACAGAGGTTTTGCAATGACGTCAGCCATCTCTTTGAGAATTCTTGGCTGAATCCCATCAGGCCCACAGGTTTGTATGGATCAAGCTGGAGCAGTAGATCCTGCACAAGTTCAGGTTCAACTGGGAGTTGATCATTCTCACAGTCATGGACCTCCAGCTCAGGGCACTGAGACCCCCTTGGTCTGTCATACAGGTTGAAGACAGAGGCAAAGAATGTGTTAAACACCTCTGCCTTGTCCATGTCCCTGTTTGTGAGATGACCATCCTCATCCTGAAAAGGGCTGATGTTATTTCTACACTGCCTATTGCCATTAACATATTTAAAAAAACCTCTTTTTATTGTCCCCCCACAATTATTTTTTGTTTAGTCTAGAGAAGAGAAGATTGAGATGGGATGCCATCAATGCATATAAATATCTCAAATGTGGGTTCCAGGAGGATGGTGTCAGACTATTCAATGGTGCTTAGCAACAAAATGAGGTGCAAGGGCCATAAACTAAAACACACGAAGTTGCGCCTCAGCATGAGGAAGAATTTTTTTATGTTGAGGGTGGCAGAGCACTGGAACAGGCTGTCCAGAGAGGTAATGGATTATAGGACTTCTCTGTTCTTTAAAGAAAAAAAAAATCAAGGCAAAATTGGTTTTCAAGTCTTCTCCCAGAGGACAGATGCTGTGCCTGAGTGCTCTGCAATGGGTGTTAAAGCCCTTTTTCCTCTGCTTCCTGATAAATCAGGGAGTGGGAAAAACCAAGAGCAACGGGCACTACCCTAAGCCTTATATTACTGATGGGCTTTACCACTGTGTTGGGTTTGCATGGCCAAGCTTTGGTAGTAGGAGGGTATGTTGGTTTATTACAGCCTGGTTTTTGGTAGCAGGAGGGCCACAGAGGTGGCTTCTGTGAGAAGCTGCTAGAAGTTTCCTTCATGTCCAGCAGAGCCAATCTGTAGCTGCTTCAAATACAAGGTTGTGCCTATTAGAAATGGTGGTAATGCCTCTGTGACAACATGTTTAAGAAGAAGAAGGAAAAAAAAAGGAAAAAAGTTATTGCGCAGTTGTAATTGCAACCAGAGAAGAGCAGGGTGAGAATATGTGAGAGGAACAGCTCTGCAAACACCAAGGTCAGTGGAGAAGGAGTGCGAGGAGGTGCTCCAGGCACTGGATCTAGGATTCCTCTGCAGCCTGCGGTGAAGACCAGAGTAAAGCAGCTGTCCTCCTGCAGCCCATGGATGTCCGTCCACAGGGATGCAAACATCCACCTGCAGCCCATGGAGGAGGCCTGTGCTGGAGCAGAGGGATACCTGAGAGGAGGCTGTGAACCTGTGGGAGACCTGTGGAGAGAGGGGTCCACACTGGAGCATCCTGTCCTTGAAGGACTGCACCCTGTGGAAGGATGACCCACGTGGCAGCAGTTTGGGGAGGACTATTGCCAGTGGGATGGACTCATGTTGCAGCAGTTCTCAGAGATCTGTTGCTTGTGAGATGGACTCACATTGGAGAAGTTCGCAGAGAACTGTGTCTCATGGGAGGAACTCCATGCCTGGAGCAGGGGAACAATTCCTTTCCCTGAGCAGAGGGAGAAACAATGGGTGATGAACTGACCATAACTCCCATTCCCTGTCTCCTTGCACCGCTGGGGTAGGAGGTAGAGCTGGGAAGGAGAGAGGGATGAAGGGAAGGTGTGTTTAAGGGTTTATTTTACTTCTTATTACACTGCTCTGATTTTGTTAGGAATAAATTCAATTAATATTTCTAATTTGAGCCTGTTTTACCCATGACAGTATTTGACGAGTGATGTCTCCCTGTCCTTATCTCAGCTCATGAACCCGTCATTATATTTTCTCTTTCCTGCCCTGCTATAGAGGGGAGTGAGAGAGTAGCTTGGTGGGTGCCTGGCATCCAGCTAGAATCAACCCACTGCAACCATCTTAATCAAGTTCAGCTGCTCATAATTCTATCAAGCACCATTGCTACTAATGAAGCTGACCCAACACAGGGTGCCATCACCATGCAAATCTCCTGGGCTTGAATCCATAAAGCAGAAAATAAATTTTCTAGACAAGTCCAGTGCACCCAGCAATCATTTTGCTGCTGAGTACACAGAAAAGCTGAAGCTCCTGTTTGTTCCTACTGATACTCCATGTGCAGAATAAAAACCACAATTGCAGACAACCAGATGAAAATTCAAATAATACTGAACCACAGCATCACAACCTAAGCTGTACCAGTGAAGGTTTAAGTTGGACATTAGGAAGAAGTTCTTCTCAGAAAGTGTGTTTGGGTGTTAGAATGGGCTGCCCAGGGAGGTGGTGGGGTCAATGTCCCTGGAGGTGTTTAAGAAAAGACTGGATGTGGCACTTAGTGCCATGGTCTAGTTGACAAGGTAGTGTTAGGTCATAGGTTGGACTTGATGATCTTGGAGATCTTTTTCAACCTAGTTAATTCTGTGATTCTGTGTTTTAATAAGCAGTGTCAGTAGACGACAAATAAGGAGACCACCAAGTCATCTTCATCATTCGGGGAGGGATGCAACAGAATGGCATTTCTGTGTACCAGCCCCCTTACTCTCTGGGCATTTCCTCGTCCAGGAGGCATCTTGCTTTCACCTCCCAGCAGTCGCCTTTTCCTTTGGGATGCTCTATCACAGAGCAACCCAGGTATCCTGGAGCAACCTGGAGACCCCTGGGCAAACTCTCCCCCTGGAATATGCCACCCATCCCTCAATGATGTGGTGCCACTTACACCAACCACGGGACAGAGTTGCTCTTGTACATTGCACACCTGGAAACATTGGACAGCAAATTCAGCTAGTTAGAAGCCAGGCTCAAAACCTCTATTTTTGGCTTTTTCTATTTTTCCCCTCTTCTTTTTTCCTCCTTTTTTCCATGCATTGCTTGTCTTCTCTTTACCAGTCACCAAAGAAGAACATGAACTCTTCCATTTCTCCCTTGCCCTGTATGTTATTAGGCCTGACTGTAACAGGCCTGGATTAAAATGTATAATTATAGCTATGACAGTAACTACAATAAAGCACTCTTTCAATAGAAAAAAAAATTATTACATTAAAAAAAGGGTTATAGTGGCTGAGGGATAATGGTGACTTGAAAAGCAAGGGCCACAGAATTCCCTGTTTCTTAGAGCTCCCAGCTCAGAGGACATGATTTTCAATCCATCGAGAAGATTACTGGCAAGCTGATGATGGCTATGTTACTTCTGCAGTGGCATTTGGGCTCCTTTAAAATAGTCCTGCTTCAGAATCCTCACATAAACCATTAGTAAGCTTTTGGGAAGGCATTGCTTTCCTCATCTCTGAGCTGCTTGCAATTGTTCATTCGATGATACAGTAAAATAAGAAGAAATCACAAATAATAAAGAAAAAAAACCCCAGTGCAAATAAGAAAGTCATCCCACTCTCCAATCTACTTTCAAAGGGGTGGCAAGTAAGTGGAGGGGCACACAGAAAGTCAAAGACAGGATGGGAACCTAGCACAAGACCCTCTGGACAAAAGCCATCACTTATGAGTGTCTGGTACAGTGTGTATCTAGCTTTGTCCTCCCAAGACATCTGCTGCCTGCTGTTTCCTGCCACTTGGCCAGGGCAAGGCAGGAGGACAGCATAAAAACAATAATAGCCCCCACTTGGATTAGTTGTTTGTGTTTTTTAATTTCCAAATTCTCTGTCTTCTTTTGAAAGTCAAACAATAACCTGGTGGGCATGTTGCTGCTTCTTGAGCAATGAGTTCAGAAAAAGAAACCTGACGCAGCTGAAAAGGAAACATACTTCTCCATCCCCATCCCATGAATGTATTCTAAAGCATGATGGGGGTTGCTCTTCTGGGGAATTTAAATCAGAAAAGTTTTTGCCAGATCCCGTCAAGGTGCATGTCTTCTTCCTGTTCCTTCCCACCCCACCTTGTCCTGCCGCTCAGGCTGTCAGTTTTTGGATGGTCTTGTTGTAGTACTGAGTGATGGTGGGCATCAGGGGGTTCCAGTTGTTGGCATGCAGCTCAATGACTTCCAGCAGCAGGGACTGTGTCAGCATGGACTCAGAGGGACACAGCATCTTGTCACGTGCTATCGCCAGCAGCTCTGTCATCATCTCGGGCAGCTGCTCCTCCAGTAACCAGCCGCTGCTCTGCAGCTGTCAGGAAAAGAAGGGGTCAGCCATGGCTTATTGATCCTTGTGTGTCCCAAGCTGAGACATTCTATGATTCTATCATTCTATAATATTCAGACACTCCACTGGCTTTTACAAACATGCTCCATCCCTCCAATTCTTCCCTGCTTGGTGTGGTAGAGCCACCAGGCAAGGTTATAAGGCATTGTGACTTTTGAAAACCAAATCCACCTGGCAGAAAGCTCCAAGAGCATGAAGGGCGAGGTTTTGAAAAGCATCTGCACTGGGCTGCTAGAGGAGCAAATGGTCCAGCTACTGCTGATATAAAAGGAAGATTGTTTTGAAAAAAAAAATAATCCCACCTAAAAATCATGCTATTGTCAAAACAATTTGCAGGCTGTGATGTGTTTTTCTTGCCTTCTACCTGGCCCTTCATTTACTTGCTGATTCACAGCTCACAGTAACTCCCAGTCATTAATTGTAATAAGCAGAGCCCTCCTGTATGCATAACAAATCCCACCCTGACAAGATCTGCATTTATACCTGTCATGCTACTTCACTGAGGACAGCCAAGGGGTTTTTCTTAAACAATTACTCCTTGGAGAGCCTCCATGGAGCAGCATAAGCCTTAGGTGGTTCCACAGAGAAGGTCCAAGCTGGGACTGGACGGCAGTGAGTCCACCATCATGGAAGATTAGTGGGTCTTGAATGCAGAGCTCCTCAAAGTCCTCACCTTAAAAATTCAAACCCTTCTCCTCAGTTGCTTGTCACTTTGCTGAATTTCAACCATTTGGGCTATAATTTCAATCACTCTCTGCAAGGAAAGCATCCATCCTTACAGGCAAATCAATTCCCAAAAAAGATACTAATGAAACTCTTCCATATTTATACCAGCATTTCCCTGCAAATATGCTGCTGAGCTAAACAAACTTGTCCGTGTGACCCATGAGGCAGTTTTTTCTCCAACACAGGTGTTTTTGTGCTTAAAATATAAGTGTAGGGTGAGATTTGAAGGAACCAGGATGACATAATTTTGTGATGGGACTCTGGCTACCAAACCTTTTGCATCCATGTACATGCATCACAAGTCCAGTGATAGAATCTCAAGGGCCATCTCTTATCTCACAGTAGTGTCTTTTATCTACTCCGCTCTCATGAGACCCCAACTGGAGTACTGCATCCAGCTCTGAGGTCCTCAGGACAGGAAAGACATGGACTTGTTAAAGAAGGTCCAGAGGATGCCACAAAAGTGGTCAGAGGACTGGAGCAGCTCTCCTAAGAGGACAGGCTGAGAGAGTTGAGGTTGTTCAGCCTGGAGAAGAGAAAGCACCAGGGAGACCTTAGAGCACTTTCCATTATCTAAAGGGGATACAGGAGAGCTGGAGAGGGACTTTGAACAAGGGCATGTAGAGATAGGACAAGGGGCAATGGCTTGAAGCTGAGAGAGGGCAGGTTTAGATTAGATATTGGGAAAAAATTATTTCCTGTGAAGGTGGTGAGGCACCGGCACAGGTTGCCCAGAGAAGCTGTGGATGAGCTATTCCTGGAAACAGGTTCAGGTTTTAAGGTCAGGTTGGACAGAACTCTGAGCAATCTGATCTATTTGAAGATGTCCCTGCCCATGGTAGGGGGTTGGATTAGATGCTCTTTAAAGGTCCCTTCCAACCCAAACCATTTGGTGATTCCATAATGCAAAGGGGCAACACAGCTGTTTGGGTTTGGAAACATCTAATAGCTGCTTGACATGTATGTTGCAAAGGACAGCAGCAGCAGAGCAGTGAGGACTGGGGCAGGTGGTGCAGGTGCTTCCCTACCTCCATGGAGCAGCAAAGCACAGCATCTTCCTTCACATCCTGAGATTGTAACAACTGCAAAAGAGAAGAGAGAGGTGGTGAGAAATGCATGACCTCCTCTTCCTCTCTTACAACCTTCCTTTCATCTCTTCATCTAGCTTGACTTTTGCCAGTTCCAGGAGGAAAGGACAGAAAATCAGAAAAGGGAGGAGGAAAGATATAATCAACACAAAAAATTAAGATAAACAGTGACAAAATGCAGGGTAAAGGGTATCACCAGCCTACCCACTGCTGAGAGCAAGCAAGTAGGACAGAATGTAGACTTTAGATTAACAGCTTTCAAAATCAAATTATTTAGGTGTAGTGGGTTGACCTTGGCTGGGTGCCAGGTGCCCACTCAGTTGCTGTATCACTCCCTTTCCCACTGGGACAGGGGAGACAATAAGATGGAGAACAACCAGCAGGGTAAGATAAGGCAGTTTTATTACAGTAAAAGAAAGAAATGAGTGGAGATCTGTGCATGCAAGAGCTAAAGAGGAAAAAAAGTCGGTCTCTACTTCGGCATGCATAACAGTTCCTTCAGAAGGCAAACACTGAAAACTCATGAATGCTCCCCCTTCCTCCTCTCTCCCTTAGCTTATATATCTGAGCTGATGTCATATGGTTTGTAATATCCCTTTGGCTAATTTGGGTCAGCTGGCCTGGTTGTGTCCCCTCCCAGGATCTTGCCCACTCCCATCCCCTTTGATGGGAGAAGGAATGTCAGAGGGACAGCATTGCTCATCAGTGGCCAAAACACTGGTTATCAACACTTGTCCAGCTACCAGTGCAAAGCACAGCGCTGTGAACTTTACCTCCATCAGACCCAATACATTACGTTACATAGCTTTTTTAATTCCACAACAGGCAATGAGAAAACACACTAGTTTCACATACACAGTGACTAAATGCAGCCATCAGACAACAGCATTTGTTATTTGGAAGGGAAGCATTCTGCCCCAGAGGCATCCCCCCCTCACTGAACCTTTTCATCCCTGTGAGGCCACTTATAACAGACATAAAATTACCTGATGGCAAAGCATTACATCCAATACACTGTAACACGGCTCCCTCTAGACAGATTCTATAGTGATACAAGTGCAATGAGTGCCAACAAAACTATGGTGTCTTAAGTGTAGCGACTCCAATCCTACTCTGCTGTCCATTAACTTTGCATTATAAACATGAGCTTGTAAGCACCAGCAACTTTCAATAGAGACCCGAAATGTTGTTGGGCATGGCATGGGATGGCGAAGGAAGATGCTCACCTAGTGGTTCAGACTCAGGGTTGTCGTAGTTACAGGAAAAAGGGTGCCAATATGGGTGCAACCAAACTGTATTCTAGGGACATCTACATAATTTCTGATAAGCTGTTAATGATTGGTTGTTCACAGTAGCTACCCAGGGCACACCCAATCCCTCAGGGTACAATCTGGATGGGGCAAACCCTGCCAGATGGGGTAGTGTTTCTTTATCTTCACAAATGACCCAGCAGTGATAACTCGCTCCAGGGGAGCATCAACATGGTTACACCCATCCTGAAGGCACCATCTCTGCTAATGGGCCATAATGGCTCAGCAGCCAGCTGCAATGCCCATCAAAGACTCCCCAAAATATCCTATGACTCACAGGATTACATCATTCCATTGCAAAACTCCCTGCCCTGGAGGAGATACTGAGCATTCATGCCTCGACTTGAGGGTATATAATCTGGGGGTTTGAGGACTGGACACCACCACCACTGGACAGCTCCAGAGGACCTGAACTTCCACTGGAGGACCAGACCTTCCACAGGACCACTGCATTTGGCAAGACTGCGACCATCACTTCAACAGCACTGCAACCACCACTTAATCAGACTACAATCACCACCCTGACCAACAGGGTGCCAGGTTGTACTCTGACTTTGTGTTTTTAAGCCAGTTTTTCTGTATCATTGCATTCATTGTAATCTTTCTATAAATTTTAACACTGACCTGAAATCTCTCTCAAGGTATTTGTGTGGGGTTCATTTCTCACACTGGATTACTTGCAAACCAGCACAAGGGTGTACAGTGAGGGTCAATGCCTCTTCCTGACAATGGCAAAGCATAGGAGCTAAGCATCTCACCCCACGAACCTTGAAACCTGTCACAGACATCTTTTGTGAAAAATCCTTTCTTTAGGATTTTTCCCTTTTCTGGGAATCTGAGGCCCCAGAAAGAGAATGTAAACAATGATTATCTGCTGCTGTGGAATGCAACAGGTGCACCTGTGATTGGCCCATGTTGCATGTGTACAATTAAGGGCCAATCAGAGACTGAGCTCTCTCTGGGAGAATCAGAGAGAGCTCCATTGTTGATTCATTCCTTTTTCTATTCTTAGCTTAGCAGCTTCTGAACTTTTTGCTCTATTCCTATTAGTATAGTTATAATGTAACATATATCATATAATAATAAATCCAGCCTTCTGATCATGGGGTCAAGATTCTTGTCTCTCTCTTCACTCCTGAAAAACCCTTGCAAGCCCAGTAACAGAAACTATTAGCAAGGACCCTGAAAAAGGGATCAGAAATACCTATTTTCCACTGTTTTTATCTTTATGACTTTGTTACACACACAGAGATGCTGTTTCAGGTATTTTGCTAAAAACACAATTGTTCTAGTAGATAAAATACTGACACAGGAATTGGGAGACACGTACCATGCTATGCAAGCAAAGCCATTTTATTACACAAGATCATCAAAATTTATACGTCACTACGTTTAGTACAAAACTTTCCATCCAGACCCCTTTGCCCCTGTTCCATAGCATCGCAATCTTCTTGGCTATCATTATTGCACCAGGAACTTACTTGTTACATTCTTTCATCAGCAATGTCCTTGTTACATCTTCCCTCATCAGAGCGGTCAGTGTCAGAGTGGTCAGAGTGACCAGACATGATGTCTTCACTTCTGTTCTTGCTTTGAGTTTATTTTTATCTCAGCTTCCACTGTATCAGGGCCAAAAGGTCGGTGGCACTACCCAGCTCAGCTTCTATAGCTGTCTGCTCTTCCACATCTCCCCCTTTTTTGTTTTTTATGGAAAGAGTTTGTGTACTTTGATGTTAAAACAGTTTGCACTTGTAAGGCCATTATCTTATTACAACTATTACTAGTCATTTGCTAGATACAGGATAAGATACATAGAATACAGATCACAATCAATATAGACATATCAAATGCAATCATGTCACTGATAAATAGATTCGCAGTATAGGAGAACAAAAGGATAATGTCCAAGGCCTCCTAGGAAGTCGAAATAAATGACTACTGTTCCAAAGTTCTGTCTTAGGGTGGGGGTGTGTATTCTATTGCCATCTGTTAGAGGTGGGGCAGTTATCTTCTGTTATTTGGGCAGTTTTTCTTTATCTCTTCCACAACCAATCCTCCCTCTGGGGAGATATCTTCTGTTAATGGTCCATTGAGTCTCACTGCATGACTGATAAAATTACATCATCCCATTGTGAGATGCTCTGCACAGAGGGAGGAGCCAAGCATTCCTACCTGGATATAATCTGAAATTTGGAACACCGCAGTCAGCCTTTTCCACTGGATTCCTAGAGCATCAGCTTTCTTTTCCACTGGATTCCCAGAGGAAGACCAGGCCCATCTACACCACCACCAGACCTTCAGAGGAAAACTCCACCCTTCTACAGGATCACTGCTTCAACAGAACCACATCTGTCACTCCAGAAGGACTGCAGCCACCATTTAATGGGACTGCTACCAACACCCTGACCAACAGGGTGTCAGGTTGTATTCTGACTCCGTCAGTGTTGTTTTGTATTACTGCATTTTTGTTTTATTTTTATTGTTTCCCTAATAAAGAACTGTTATTCTTATCCCCATATCTTTGCCTGAGAGCCCCTTAATTTAAAAATTATAATAATTCAAAGAGAGGGAGTTTACATTTTCCATTTCAGGGGCGGCTCCTGCCTTCCTTAGCAGAGACCTGTCTTTTCAAACCAAGACAAGTTCATATGGTTGGAGCTCAGGAGCCATGCTGTTTAGGCAGGAGGAAGTCCATAAGATGGAAATGTTGACTGTGACATTACTGAATGGCTTTCTGGAAGCATGGAACAGGGAATAACTGAAAAAGGTCAATAGGAACACAATGCCATGATGGTGAGTGCAGTAGGACACAAGGCCTCTTTTGGCAGGCTGCCTCCATAAGGCTCCAGACACAGCCATGTCCTAGCAGTCCTACCCCTGCTCCTGCCTTGGCCACAAGGGTTGGCTGGTAATTAGGTAATTTTTCTTCTCTCTGGGACTCATTTTCTTGGAGATGATCGATGTTTGTCCAGACGAGCAGAGAACTACTTTGAACCTTTTGGTGATAAAACACATGCATACCTTCTCCCTAGGTTAGTAAATCAGCTATGCCTTGCCAGTGTACATTCAATCAGGAATCTTTACGCAGAAACTTTTAGAAATTGGTTCTGCACATGCAAATCTTCAAAATGGTATCGCTCTGCCAGGGATCCAATTTGATGATTTGCTTTCAAAATTTTTAGTGTAAATATGGCATTATCTAAACATTCTTAAGGAGCCATATTCCCCCTCTTTGTGTTTTCAACAACATGTGTCTCTCATTATGAACATGAAGGCAACATAAAAGAAAACAATACAATACAATAAACTTACACTAAGCAGAAATAAGTCAGATAATATCCATAATTAGTAGCACACGAGAGATAGGATGGTGATTTAAAACAATACATCATCAATTCCCTAAATACTGTACAGTCACCCAGTCTGCAGCAGCTGGCAAGCCTCGTTTCACAGTGAGGACCTGGAGAACTATTCCCGGGTAAGGCCTTCAAGGTCACTTCAAAAGGGGGTCCAGCTGTTATAAGTCCAAATTGGCAAGTCAAAGTGACCTGAGTACAGTTTTGGTGCAGAAAACTGCTGGGTTTGTTGGCATACTTCCTGACCAGGTAGGGCCAGAGCTTGGCCAGAGCCCAGGCCTTAACTGGAAGAGTCTCCCTAACATATTCTACAAACAAGCCTCACAGT